ATCGTTATATTTGTTGTCAGGTATGATTTGCTGTTGCTAGGTATGATGCTGCCTCTTTTAATCACGTCTTGAAATCATTACAAATCGTACTATAGTTGTGCACGCTACTCTAATGGTTTCTTTTACTTGAACTGTCCTGAATGGCGAAACGAAATCTTGTTTGAATTTTTCATCAGATTTCCTTCTGCTTTTTTCCTTCTGCTTGATAATTGCAGTTGTTTGCGTTTTTCTGTTATTGAGTAGAAATTTTATTGTTCTACAGTATTAGTAAATCGTTCTCTCATATCCTAAATTAACGGTCGTGTGATATTTGAGGTTCTTTTTCAGATCGAATCAGACAGATGCTATTTATAATAGATTTGCTAGTATTTCGATTACAATGGCTTTAATTTAGAGGAGAAGAGAACCAACTTCCAGATGTGGAAGAGAGCTCAGAGGCGCTTCCGGTCGAACCAGAAGCGAGTGAGTTATTTCATCATTGTTGTTAAACGTGTTACGTTACATCATTGCTTCTTTTAGGCGAAGACTCTAATGAACGACAACCATCAACTTCAGACTTAGCAAGTACGTGTACATTGAATAAACATATTCAAGCTCTGAACTGCTTAACCTCTAGGAGACAGCCCAACAGTTGCGCGTTTGTATGTAGGTCACGTAAATCGTACATTGATTAACACGCCGTCTCTGTTGTAAACAGTGGTAGCGCAATTGGTGGAGTGTGGATTTGGATGTAGATTTGAACTCTGGTCGGTTCATTTGCCTTTTATGCATACAAGTTAGACCAATGGGTGACACTTAGTGAAAGGAAACACTAGGCTACGCATCTGTGCTTGCCACAGCTTTAGAAATTACTTTTACATTAAGGCATTCCTGGCTGATGGTATACAAAGCGAGATCAACCGCGCAACATGGGCTCCTCGAAAAGAATGATGCTAGATGCAGTGATCGTCGTGGAAGTGTGAAGGGCTGAATTCCCACGGTTGCAGATTTCCTTTTTCTCAGAACCTGAATTCTGAAACCTTTAGTTAACGTGCTAAAAATTTTTTTGTCCCTCTACTTAAGGTAAATCTGTCAAAGTTTCATTCGTTTGTAAGAAACTTGTTGCCAACGCTAATCGATTTATTTATATGAACATTATAAATGTAATGTCAGATCATACTGAGAATCTCTTGTGATTGTAAGAACACGATTTCTTGAACATGTATTTATTGGATGAGGTCATTGAGTCATTTTCATAACCAGAACGTCTCTGCTTTATGATATCCGCAGTTTTGCAATACTTGCTGTACGGCTTTTGTCTCAGGTAGGAAATGTCTACAAACGTTCACAGGCAGGTTCAGTGTAAGGAGTAGAATGTGCAGAGCCATAGTTTAAACCGAAAGCCTATTTCAAAGAAGGAAGTATGCCTTGCGCTAACTTTAGATGACACGCGTTTCTTACTTTGGAACAGTAAGAAGACGCTTTGGTAAACTTATCGTACTTTGCTGCTTGCAATTAGTCATTTAAAAACGATTGTTTGGTGATGGATGCCTGTTTCAGAACACTGAGCATAGCCAATATATTTACGGTAGATGGCTAGAATTCGCAGTATCTTGCTGTCAATGCCGATCGTTTTTATTTTGTGCCGAGAGAAATATGATGTTTCATTTGATGCATTAGGGATTAAAAAGCAGTTTCTCAACGTTAAACTGATTGCGCTGTGACTTCGATAAAAGCTTATTCCATCCGGGCTTTGGGTACAATTTATAATTTGATACGTTTGAGGCGTTCGCGTCCGCAGGCCGATCGTCTGGCAGGCAAACGACGACGGTACCGGCAGATCAGATGTCGTGCAGTCTTCTAGTCCGATACGTGGTCGCATTGGCCGGTTGCAGTTGGGTAGACGTTCTCGACCACCAATTTCATCTTTGCGCAGACGTGGTATATTCCGAGCGCTTCATCGACATTTGTAATTCTGTTGCATTCCGCCTTTGTGCATCCCAAAGTTTGTATTGAACTCTAATTGATGTCCCTGTTAGTGATATTTGGAAGTGGATGCTCATGGCGAATTTTTTTTTATCGTGTTCATATCTATATATCTGTATTAAGGATTATTTTTTGTATGTACAAAATGTTAGATTTATCTATTAAAGATTTTTCGCAGTTGTCTCAAATTGTTTTCTATCACCATGAAGCGAAAAGTACGGAAACCCCGTTAGTTCTGCATGAGCTTGAGTGTGATGAATTTACTTTTGCATACTAGAGGGCACTGAGCAGATCTGATGGTAAAACTTGTATTGTCATCGCGTTATGTGCGCTGGAAACCTCCAGTACTGCTACAGGTGCATTGTGTAATAATAAAATGACCAC